AATGTTTAGAAAAACTCGAAGTTTTCATCAGACATAAAGAAAACTAGGGCTTCTCCTGGTAAATCAACCCGCTGGGACTTCTTACCGTTGTGACTTCTTTATATCACAAAACAGGCGATATTCCATCATTTGACTTATCCATCCCGCACCATTTATATAGCCTTCCTAAGCCTGTGTTCAATACAAACGTATAAGACATACTGCAACATCAGCAGCCTCTTATGCTGTGTAACTCAGTATTAATTGCAAGTACTAATACACAACTGTTTGTAGTAATTTACATGTTATATATTGAAGTACAATGTGCACATATTTACTTTACTTCCTATGTGTTTATACATATTTTTCTATACATATTTACTTCAACCTCTTTTTCCTACAAATATGTTTATTACAATTTATTTATTTTTGTTTATCATTTTATTGCACATTTTTACTTAAACTTATTGTGTGTATTGAACTTTTTTTATTACATATATTTTTTTCTTTTTCTTTTGATATCGTTTTAAAATGGAGAAACTGTAATGAAACCCAATTTCCCCCAGGAAAAATAAAGTAGTCTGATTGTAATTCAAAGTGTCTTTAAAATTCCCCTATAAAAGGTTTATTATATTATTTATTTATAAAAAGGATAGGTCATTTCGTTGACATTTGAACACTGTAGGTTTTCAAAAATACTCAAAGTCGTTCAAAGATACTGTAGGGGAAATGTATTTAGACTTAAGGCACCAAATGTGTGTTAGTTTCGGTTGAATTTGGGCTAAGAATTCTTCTTCTTGAGTGCATATAAAGAGCCAATTTAAACTCTGGTTATGCATACACATGGGCAAGAAATCAGCTGGAGAAAATCCTCTTCGGGAAACTTAGTCTCTCATTTATATGACATTTAAGAAATCAGATTACTGCAGAGAGCTGCCAAGTCATTTCAAAGGCTCAACACACTGACTAGAGAGAGTGCTTTATTTGGTCCTTTTTCAGTTTCCATGCTCTGACAGCAAAAACTGACACTCCTTTCCAATTTACCTCTTATTGCTTTAGAGAACATTTTCTTCTTCCCATTATCCTTCATCAGTTCCACAGATATACAGTTTCACAGACAGAACAGTCTGTCTTCAGTTTTGATGACTCACCCACTGGTATATTAATTTCCCCCATTCCTCCGGTCGTCTCCACATGACTAAACACCGAGACTTGTTTTTGTCCAGCCACTCCAGGTTCCCTGAGTTCAGACGACAAAATGATTCAAATGTATTACTGTTGAATTCACAGATCGGCAGTGAGATAAGTACTCCTAATCTCAACACTGTGCGAACAAATTGTACCTTTTTTCCTCAACTCCTCAAACACAACTTGAATTGCTTCCATTGATAGTTTTCCTGAAAATCAGTTAAGGCCAAAGACAAAAAGTAACAAATGTACAGGTTTGAAATTCAAATTGTTCTTAGCGTATAAATGTCCTAACACTGCCTCATTCACATGGGAATATATTTCTAAATATAGTTGTTATGCTCATATGGTTCATTGTCACTGTATTTGCTTTTATCTTTTACGGTCTCTGGTTAAAGAAAAAAAAAAAATATATATATATATATATATATATAATATAAATACTGTTTAAATGTTGAAAACAAGAAACTTAAAGTCACCAAAATAAATGTAAGAAATCTCAGAATAGGGGCATTCTAGAAAAAGCATTTAAAGGGGTCCTATTGCCTTATTGCCTGAAAAGCCTTGAAGGTTATCCTTTATTTACTTTTGTAACATAGTTTCATCAACATGTAACACTTAGGCTTTTGCACATTGTAAATGACAGGCTAAGGGGCGGGACATCTCTCAGCACTAATCACAACAGAGCCGGCCAGCTAACCAATCAGAGCAGACTGGGCTCTGGTTTCAGACAGAGGGTGAAAAGAGGTGCTGCAGCACAGGCAGTATGAGAAGAATAAAGAGCTTTCTGAACATTAAAGCACTGAAACATGTCACAGTAGAGGCACAACATACAAATATGAACTTCAAAATGAGCATTATATTTCCTCTTTAAAAACCACCCTAATTGAATGCGTCAACAATAATATCCTGTGGTTAAAATTACGTTTTACAGCTTGTAAACCTTTGACTAGCAATCCAAATGAAACATAAGCAAACATGAGAGACTATATGGACTTGAAACTGTTTTGAACATGTTTTACGTGTGGTGAAATGGTGGCTTTTACTGGACTTGAAGGATACGTTCTATCTTCTTGTTGTTGAACACGGGGCTCTCCTGGGCCTCCATGACGTCCAGGGTGTAGAGCTTGTGATGGCGGCAGTAGGACAGAGCCAGGGAGCACCATGCCGCCAGCTGCTTCTGTCTGGTGTCAGCATTGGGCTGTAGCCTGTCCACAAAGAGAGGAAGACAAGGAGACGTCAACACTGAAGGACAAACAACAAGCTAATGGCACTGCAAACAGAACACACACACACACATCAGTGTAATGCTCACTTTTCTTACGCCATTTTATTAAGTAGATTTAAGCTATAGCTATTAGGGAAGCTTTCATCAATAGTGTCATGCTTTCATTTTACAGCTTGTTCATGTTATTTGCTATATCTTCCTTTTTTTAAGGTTTCTGCATGTCCAGGCATATGTGTATTTTGTGAATATTTGGACCGTTGTGCTATGTTTAAGATTTTGTGAAGAAACAGACATTGTTATTGCATCAGAGAAAAGGGCACGTTTCTTTAGATCCCATCCTTTTAAGGGAAAAACAAACAATTTTAAATAAAGTCCCCCTGAATACAAAAACAATAAATGGAAACTTTGGCTGAGTTTGCTCTTTCTAACATTATAAGTCCTGTATTTATTCTATTTTAAGTCACCTGTGAGGACATTCACAATAAAGGACACTGCGATAAACTTGTGACTAATGATAAATCGTATCATTCTCCCATCCCTATTTATGAAAGATAAAACCCGACCAAGCAGCTACAATTCAGATAAGACAACATTGACTGAAGGATGATACAGTGAGAGATACCCTGAGACAGTAGTTAGATATTTTTGTGTCAGCCTGGAGGACCGACTTCTGGAAAAGGAAGTGATGACCAAATACTGTCAGCTGCTCTACACACACGCGTACTATACTAAACTATTAGTATCAAAGGTTGTGACCTTTTAAATATCTTCTCATTTAGAGGTTGTTTATACAATAAATATTCCAAGTTTCCGTATGATGACACGCCTCTGAATGCTTTCTCGTTCAGTTCCATAGAGAAAAGTGTGATTTCACATATTTACATTCAAATTCAAACATTCTCTTCATCCTCTCTGAATTCTGTGAAGCCCTTTGGAAGTAAGATTTAGGGGGAGAGGATATCAGTAACATCATCAGCTAATGAGATAAAAATCCCTAAAAGTGGCCTTTATTGGTCGGGAAGAAAAAACGTCTTCCCACTTATCCCCTGAATTAGATTTATATTATTTTTTATTTTCTATTATATTCTGACCTGAAGGTTGAGGTCATTATTTTAGCTGCAAAATCTGAAAAGTTGGCTGTTTGTGTGTTGATTTAATGTTGTTTTCTGCCCTACTATAAAACAACAGGGTGTCATGTTAAAGCAGTGCAGAAAAGATTGTAACAGTCACTCACAAGTGCTTTCACATTATTGCCAATTGGAGTAAAGTTCATTAAAAACATTTTGTTACTGTATAATACTCAGTTGTCAAAATTAAATAAAAGCAACCAACGATTGTGATCCAATTTAAATAGGGTGAAAATGTTTTGGTAGCAGCTATTACTATAAAGGGTGTGACCAATAATACAATTATATGTGCAAAAGTATTCTATAGCTTATATCACAAACCAGGTCACATAATCTGACGGGTAACCAAATTGGACATAACACTGTTCAATAGTTGGTGAGCATGTATGTATTATATTCATTATCATTGGTGGCATACACTGTGTAGTCTGGTAGCTGAAGTTGAGGCAGTGGTGGCTACCAAACAGCTAACGTTAGCTGGAGCTACGAGCTAAACTCATTCTCTAAACTCGCACACACCACCATTCCTCAATAAGATGTTTATTTTTTATTATATTTAAAATGTCAAACCTAAAAAGTCAAAGAGTGGAGCTCACAAACTTTAGAGAGCCACTAGAAGAAAAACAGGTCCACTTCCCTAGCTGTTTTGTTTTAGCAAGGTAGCTCCGGCTACCATGATAGTAGCTAGCAAAGCAACACACTTCGATTATTTAACAAAAAAACAATGGCGGTTAATAAGTAGGGCTGATACATGTTTTAAATGTGGTTGAGAAGAATTGACTCACGTAAAAAACGGTGGGAAGTTATATTGCCAGGGCCACTCAAAACTCATTGCAGTTGATGCGGTGCTCACTGCTCACAGCTGACAGCTTCCGGAAGTCTGTCCCACCGCTCAAATGGTTCCGACTAGCTACACAGATTTTACACTTTACGAAATAAACATAAATTATAACAAAATTATATAGATATAGGAATATATATGAATAAATAAATAATTATATATACATAAATGTATTTAAAGACAGATTTATATCAAATTAATAACATATAAAAAAGAATAACAAATAAAAACATACACAATTAATAGAAACATTTTACACAAATATATATATATATATATATCAAATCTAAATCTTAAATACATAAACTATAAAACATAAAAGAATGAATGGTAATACGTGCATTTACCCAAGTATTGTAGTGCACATTTTTACATTTGTTAAACAGCCTTAATGTATACATACACTTCTTGTATTTATAGTTTTCTATTATTATTATTATGGTAATAAATAATATAACATGCCTAACAAAAACAGTCTAAAGTTTAACTGTGATAATTAAAGCACATTGCTGTTCATATTTCTTTACTCAAGCTTTAGTCATATAATATTTAACTTTTTTCAAACCGACACCATGTGAATTAATCCCATGTTTACATTTTCATGAGCATTGTGACAGAAATGAATTCAAAGCTGTAGTTTTTTACAAAGTTATTTTTTATTATGGAATAAATTGTGCATTTCCAACAACTTTCAGCATAAATATGCCTTCTATTTCTATTTACAGGTCAGGAATGTCTTCTAGAATCCACTTTTCTTTTTCATGGTGAGAATCTTTTTACTGTCAAAAGAATGTATCACTAGTTTACATTTCTATGGTGTTATCATACAGTTTCTTAAAGAACAACATGATCGGAAAATGGGATTTCATTCACTGGAAAATAATCTATAAGTTGCACAAGTATTCTTTGTTACCATCTATTTCACAGCAAGGTGTTGATATTAATATTTATTTTTATACAGGTCTATATTACAATACAATTCATGGGTAAAAATGATACAATATTAGAATACAATCTCAGTTATTGCCATAGGTGATAAACTGTCATTTCAAATTGAATACAAGATTTAAATGTCATTAAACTTTCTAAAAAATAAAGATGGAGGCAATTATTGAACATTTCTTTAAGAGAGCATTAATGCATTCGCCCAGGTTTGACTTCGGTAGGTTCTAGGTGCGATTTAGACAAGCCAGTAATAAAAAACAAACAAATAAAATCTCAGGAAAGTGACTTGTGAGATTAAGACAGCTAGAGTGGAGCGAGAGCAATATGACACAGTCCTTTTTCAACCTAAGCAACAAGCTAAAAAGCTCTGAGAAAGGAAACCTCATTGGATTTCCAACCCTACAATACTGCCGAAGATAGTTGTAACAGCGTCAGCCTCCCGACACTGTGGTTTAAAATGCTTCAAATATTCTCAGCTAAGACCATTTGAAGATCCCTTTTTTCTAATTTGTGTGGTTAAACCTTAAATATTCTGAGCAAAGAAAACTTGAAGGGCACTTTTTACAAGAGAAGTTTCATTTTAGATGTTGCACTGAAGCTTTTTATGTGCATGCAAAAAAAGGAAATCTAGAACTTCAAAAAGCTTGAGCACATTCAGACGATTGTACAGCTCTTCACTGGAGGCTCGTGCAGCGGCTTTAGCTGGAGAAGAACATCAGCTCGTACTCGTTCAGGATGAACTCCACTATCTGGTTCTGGAAGACCATGTGCATGGTGATGTTGCCCAGCTCCATCTCTGGCCGGAGGAGAGTCGGACCAAATACAATAGCCACATTCTGCACAGTCATGCGATTGTCCTCCCCGTATTCAATGAGCCTGTCAGAGAAAAATAAATAGGATAATGTAATAAGTCCTAATTTCCTGTTTCTTTTCATTTCAACTATATACTTTTACATCAAGATCTGGAACAAGTTGATGCAAACCAGAAGGAAAAGATTAAATAAATAAATGTTTTGAAAAAAAAAAAAAAAAAACACCCTTGACTTTATATATTTTCATGTATATTTTCTATTTTATTTTATTTTTCTTTCTATTCTTGTTTATTTTGTAGTTTTGTTTTATTGTAAAATGCCTTGTCTATTATGCTGCTGTAACAAAAACAATTTCCCAAATTGGGATCAATAAAGTAGCCTACTATCTTATCTTATCTTATCTTATCTTATTATTGTTTTTATTATTATAATTTTTTATTAATTAATTCATATATATTTTTTCTCTCTCATTTATTTATATTTAGTACTATTATATTACTGTTATTCACTTTACAATTTTATATGAAACAGAAATATATCATTACAAAAAGAAACATACCTGCGTAAATGCCCAAAAAGGAGTTTCATGGTATCATGATTTGAAGGAGGAAGGGACCTGACCAGCTCATACATGCAAGACGCTTTTGTGTTGTAATCAGGAATTCCTAGAAAAACAGGACATAATCAGTTATACAAATAATACAAATATACAAATCACTGTTTGCAATATTAATCTTAATATTTGCTATTTTTACACATTAAACACAAATGATTGTCGTTAAGGGTGATTTAGTCGGTCAAAATTGGATTTTTGAATAAAAGATCTGCTTACTGATTGCTTCGATGAACTTATTAAAGTGGCTGAAGGGGAAAAGCGGCTCAGGAAGCTCTCGGAAAAACAGCTTCAGCGCTCCGGTGATGACGTGAACGTCCTCCCACTGTCCGTCCTCCAGGTCCAGCTCCTCTGTGACAACACAACAGGGGCACAGACTGTTAAAGCACAGCAGGGGGCGCTGCTGTCTGCAGTGACAGCCTGCAGTAAACTACCATATGCATACTTCCTCTGCATGAAGAATAACTGAATACATTGACCTTAAAGGTGGGGTATGTAATTTTGGAGAAACCAGCACGAGTGCGCTAGAATTTGAAAATACACAACCGGAAAAAATCTGCCACTTCCTTACAGAGCCCCTCCTCCAACACACACGAGCGCGCACATGACCAATGAGGGCACGAGATAAGTTTGTGCACAGATGGAAGGCTGACAGGCAGGTAGGCCATCCAGTTATTTTAGCCGGATTGGTCGTGCTTTTTACAGTACTACGGCTTCCAAAGATTAAAAAATTGTATGTATTTATTGTCAAAGCATTGCTATCGGGATGTTAAGAGCATTCCATGGAATATAACAAAAAGTGTTTCTGAAATAAATTACATACCCCACCTTTGATGCACTTATTTGTGTGGTAAACTTTACCATGATCAGCCTTGAAGCGTAGTTTCTGAATGACAGCCAGGTTCCCGCTCACTCTGTAGAGTCCGTCAATGTCTAAACCTGTAAATGATCACACAGTAAATCCATTTGTATACTGCACACAGAGAAACAATACTTCCGATATGATTCAGAAAGTCACACAAACAACTTGGATTACCTCTCTTTTCCACTGCTTTGATACATTTCTCCACAAAACTAGGAACTGTGGCCCTTTCTTGTGCGCACAGTGTGCCCAGATGGCATCCAAACACATTGTCTATGGGAAGAAAAACATTATTATCATTAGTTGTATTAGTAGTAATACTAAGGAGAGTGAATGAATAAATACTACATTTGAAAAATATAGTTGTGATTTGGGGAAAATATAACATAGAGAGAAGAAAATATATGCAGAAATGTAGCTGTTGGGGTTTCAAAACTAAACATGACTCATTTTGTAACATTAGAACATGTCCATACAGATTATGCATTAAACGTCATATACTGTAAAAAGTATGGATTACTCTCAGGCAGACTATAGCATGCATATGAGAAGTTAATTTAACTGCCATAAAAAACTATAAATGTTTATATTATATGCAGTAGGAATTGAGTACAAAATAAATAACGATATCCCAATTTATATCATGCAAATACAGATTATAGAAGATTATATACACAATATGTCACCGATTCAAATTCCTTAGACTGCGCAGGCTGTGTAAGATATCATGCTCCTCCTATGCATACAAATAACTGATGCAATTTTATTTAAATATGTGAATCACGTATAATTCCATTTAATGTCTTCAGTTATAATTGTGCTTTATGATGTGTTCATGACACTTGCTTTTATGCTGTCTTTCTGAAAAACAAATGTCCTCTTGTGGGTGAAAAATAATCTGACCTGACATGAAATGCACACTGGAAAATGCAAAACAGTGTGTGTTTAAATATAAGTATTACCACAAACAGGAAGTGTTCAAAGTCAGGTTGAGTGAAACTGACTTTTCAATTAGCTTCTATTCAAATCAGTCACAGCCTGAAGAGAAGAACATTATGTTATGTTATGTTATGTTTTGTTATGTTGTTTTTACCTCGGATGTAGCCTTTCTCCTTCACCGACTGCAGCGTGGGCCGCTTCATGAGGAACTTCATCAACTTGGTCCGAACCCTCTTCTGGTCCGAGTCTCCTGCACCGCTGGAGGAGTGTGTGACGGTCGGCTTGGAGGCTGGAAAAATAAATGTTAGATATTAAAATGATTGTAGCTCTTGATGGGATCTGATGTGTCTAACTGGGTCAGAATGATGACATCATTTACAGCGCATTAAAACAAGAACATTTCAGCGTACGTCTTCGTTTGTCAATGCCGCCTCCTAACTTGTCGTCTCGCTCTGTGCCGCCAATCTTCTCGTATAAGTCCCCGTCCTCGTCCTCTGAGTGATGGTCCTGGTACTCCTGATCAACAGATACACAACGGGAGTCAGTCAGACAAACTTACAGCAAACTGTCTGCGCAATTCCCACTACTAAACCTTAATTAATCTATGTAATAGTAGTGTAGGTTGTCAAATATAGATAGAACAATCCATGATTTATGTTATGAATTCAATAACTTGGGAGAACAAAATCTTCTTTTTTAAAAGTGTTTTGTCTGTAATTCATTCTTTAGAGGGTATTTTGGGGTGTATGAAACACACCCCATGATGGAACCTCCATTTTCTGTAATAAGGATGTTTCTCAAAATGGCTTGATGTTACTTTTTATTTCATCTTCTGTGATTTTGAGTTTTTTCCACAGTACAGTAGAAAACATTGTTATAAATAGCAAGTGACCTGGAGTTTTAGGAAAGTACATTTCTGGGTATTATGGACATAGACTGACCAATACATAGCATATTTGTTCAATAGGAATCAAGGTTATATCTGCAATCATGCTCATTTGGAGATATATTTAAAACATGTCAACCATCTTAGTCTTAATAAGAATGTCAGTCTTAGTTTTTTTATGATTTCAATCCAATGCTGTTACCAAGCATCAGCAGTAATAAAACAGAAATGATTTGATTAGCTGGAGATTTATTTGCAGTTTAAAGGGGATCATTTTCATGGAAGCACTTACCAGTTGCCGTATGGTGTCCACTAAGACTTTGTGCCAGTCATGGATGATGCTTTCTGTGTCGTACTGTACCAGGAACTCTACGCCGTTCTTTCCTTTTAACTGGAGGAGAAATAATGGTATAGTTAGAATGGCATAAAGAATAATCAACTGGCAATGTTGGTGGTAATATTGATCAGTTAATTTTCAACCCATTGTACCTTTAGGGTCTTTCAAAATGTGTGGAACTTTTTTTCTCATACTCCCATACATAATAACCACTTTATAGAACATTATATTCTTATGGTTGTTTTGATTAAGGTAGTGACACAGGGACATATCCATAATTCCCTCTCCCTTTGACTTTAATATACCAATAAAATACAACTTTTATTTTGAACCAGGCTCTATCCGATATTCAGATTTCTGTTCTGGAAATGGATGACATTTGCATTTAATAAGACCTCATTTGCATATTTAAACATAGCATAAAAAAAATCTGAATATAACTAATCATGGGGATATGTGTTAGAAAAAGGACCCTATATTATTGTAGTGTCTCAGCTTAATATTGAAATACACAAGATCATGTTAGAGAAGCAGGAACACAGTATAGGCTCAGTTCTTAATGCTAACATGCTAACAGCTACACACATTGCATTATGTTCCATGACAACAAACAAACACCTCTAAAACATTCTTCTTGCTGGATTTATCCTTCGGGGCCCAGCCAATGGTAGCTCCTCGCAGGTCCACCGTGATCTCTGGAACAATCTGATTGGTTTTAATCTGTGCGGAGGTAAAGAAAAGAAAATACAGCTGTTTAAGAAACTGACACTGCTGCATTCCAGGAAACAAAAGCTGTGACTGTCCCTGTCAGTCACCGACCCGAGGGCTTGTCTGTGCCGTCACTCCTCATAAAGTACACATCAGCCTGCATCACCCTGTTTCATTTGCTTTTTTAGATGTAGATGAGACGTTGACATGATGCCAATGTGCAGACTACATAAAAAAAAGCTTAAGGCAATTTAATAAGAAAAGTCAGTGTTTCATTTGATCTTGAACCTCCCAGAAGTCCACAGCTTGTCAGAGTTTCTTGTTAATGAACTATGAGCACTTTCCTCGGCTAACAATATGCAAATCCTTTAATTTGAATAAAACGTATACGTGTAAATCATACCGAAGTCCCTATAGCTGCAGACTTTGGATCTTTGTGGAACGTCAGCACTCCTCCGTGGAGAACTGTCCATGTCTGAGCCCAGTTCTTCCTGAAAATGGAAGAAAACCTGTCACTTACACAGAGAAAGCAACAAAGAGCTTTACGGGAAGATGACACATGATTCCAAACACACCCAAAATCAAATACTGAAGCGTGAGACTCTCCTCTCAGTGAGGTGTTAGCTTACCTAACTTTCTTGCCGTTGTCACACACTTTTGTTTTGTTGAGGATACCGGCTTTCTCCAAGTTCTGCACCTGAATAAAACATTTTAACTCTTTATACTGTAAGTGTAGGCCTTGTACGGGCAGTCAAGTTATGTGATGATATAAAGGACAAGCGTTTTAAGTCACAATATTGAACACTATAAAGCCATGCATGCAGACAGCAGTCACATTCATAGTTGTATTACAATCCATGCGCATGATGAAATCCTTATGTTAAATATCCTGAAAAAAGTCACAGATTCTATCATCCAACTATGTGTAGAGTCGCAGGGGGGACTCACAACATTCACATAATTGTAAGATTATTTAACAATACTTCAACATTACTATATTTGTATTTTGTGCCTCTACAATGTGTTTGAGTGCTTGCCAATAGAAGCGTGAATGTTTTGTAGTGATGTTACTATGTTACGGAAGTAAACAAAGGAGTCCAATGGAGGCACAAACTTATGCAACAGACTACAGGAAATGTAAAAGTCCAAAATGCATAATACAGCCCCTTTAACAAATGATAGACCAAAATAAACAAGGTGTTAGTCCTTTTCTTAGTATTTTCTGACTTCCCCTCCTTGTCTTTAACATTTAGCTTCAAACTCATTCACTCTTTAAAGAATGGTTTTAGTCAACACCACCAAACACAAGTAAATAATGCATTTGTTGGAGACTACTTGGTGCTCTAGTGATTATTTGGAGCAGCAGGGTGGCGTATGTGGGATTGCTCAAAAGTAAACTACAGTGTCTTTGTGTTTGTGTTTATGGTGATGAAGGAACATGCACCCAGTTCAACAGTGTGACTCAGTGGTGTGTTTTTAAAAAGAGTTTTGGACAACAATGGAGCTCTATGGCACAGAAGAAGGAGATACATCAGGCTTTAGTTACACATGCAATATGTAATAATAAGTAAATGTTTGACTGCACATAAAATGGTTGTAAAATAATGACAACATTGGCATTTAGATTTGCTTCTTATAAGCATTTCCCTGTCTATGCAATTATGCCTGCCATCAGGTATGACTGGGGAAATTAAGGCTCAAAGGAAGTACGTCAACCATTGTGCAACCAAGTCAGAAAGAGGATGGCAATTATGTATTGTTTGGTAGCTGTTTACTAAAGAGTATCAATGTAAGTTATTTGCAGGTACTAGTGGAAATACAGGACGGTGGAACAATCGTAGTTACTACGGAAAACACAATGCAGCGTCTCACATGCAGTGTTGTCAACACGTTTCCAATGAAAGTAGCTCGTACTAGTTCCAAATGTCTGGTGGCCAAAGAGCTGTGGCCTGTGATTACTCTGAGAAGCATTCGAAATGATTTACAATTTCATACATTAGAGTATATTTCTTGTTTTTTCCATAAAGGCTTGAATAAGTCAATTAAAACTGTGGAAGTATTTGACTTTCCCGGACTGTTACTGAATGAAAACACTAATGGAGAATAAGAAAACACTTAATTGTTGGAGGCGTAAAATATATATATATATTTCGTTTTATTAAGACTGTTGTTAAGCAACATGATATGAAACTATGTGACCATGTATACTTTATTTTTCCCCTGCTGCTATTTTAGCTTTTTCACGGTGTATTTAAAAGTAAAGAATCTGAAGCAAATTGTGTGGCACTTTAACCCCTGAATACAGAACAAAAATCCTAAAACCCCATGAGGTAGATGAAGATGGGAATGTAGACAGTTGGTGTATTAGTTTGGATGTAACATGCATGACAGCAACAGAAATCCAAATCAAACAAAAAATAGTAATTGATGCAAAAATGTAAACATGTATTTTCAGATGCAGCAATGCAGCTTGTGGGATCTTAAATTACACGTGTGGCTCATCAGATAGATGCTGCTATCTATGAGTCGAGCTCAGCTTAAACTAACAACCCACATTATAGCGCAGCCACCTGGAGGTCAGATAATAGGGGTTTCTCCAGGGTCTAAACCCAAAAGCCTTAAGAGAGAAACACAGAGAACCATTCAGACACAGGGCGGCACAAAGGGCTAACTTAAGGGCTAACTAACTATATTCTCAGCCTCAAGTTATTCGAATGTTAAAGTATGAGTACATTAACATGACACAACGTTCACCCACATCATTCTGCGTCTCCGGAGAGTTCCCCGTGCTGGAGCTGTCGCTGCTGTAGTCGGACGTGTTCCTCTTGTGAGTTGGCATGAACCTCTGGACAACATTAAAATATTTTTGTTAGAATAAAAACCAGAAAGCAACAGATATAATTTATTTCAAGGATGTGCACGTCTCTTGCAGTAGCTGTGATAAGAAAAAAACCTGTAATGCAGTAGAAATGGTGTCCTTTTTACCCATTAAAATGCTTTCCATTTGCTTAATTAGCTTATTTAATTAAATTGTAATCTTGTTTTCTTGTCTTTATGGTTGCATTTATGAGTTTTATTTTAAACTTTCATAAAAGAAAAATGGATTGGTTTTAAACCATTCTTTAAACCAAGCCTCCATGTCCCTTCTTCCATTCTTCATATTAATACAAATAGACACAACATGACCAATATTTCCATATACTTCATGTTCCTTTGTTCTGGGGCTGTTTTTCTTGGTTTGTCCCTCAATACTCAATGATCTCTCAAGTTTAAATAATAGTTTAAAGATTTTTTCTATTTTTAGGTTTGACTTTTCAATTAAATTGTAGTTTTTAAATTGTGTTTGCTAATTTTAGTTTTGTTTCAGATTTTTCAGAAAGGTTTAGTTTTATACATTAAGTTTTACGGTCGTTTATTTTGTTGGAGCCAGCAATAATACAATACTGTATTAAAAGTATTTAGCTACATATACCATACAAAACACATGGCAGAAGAACTATGTTGAAATGGGCATAATATTGAACTTTAGTCTGTTCAATTTGATGTCAGGAGAGTTCATTCTGTCCCTTTTTGCTGTAGAGATGTATTAGAGCACATTTTTAAATAAATGTATGTGTATTTTAATTAAATTACCTGGCAATTTCTTTTTTATCTTTTGGTTTTATTAAATAACATTTTTCGTTTTAGTTTAATTTTACTATAATAACACACCCCCTTCCCAGTCCCACTCCCCCTCTCCCTCTGCAGTTCTGTGCTCGAGCAGTTGCTGTAAATACGAGATGACTGCAGTTGATTTGCCTTGCTAAATAGGGGTTTTAGAAACATGGGAGTGTCAGTTGTTAAACGGAGACTCACCCTCACTACTTGTGGCAGACTGAAGCTTTCTGTGTGAGCTGACTGACACACCCTGCATGAGTGATGCAGCCTGTACGTGTACAAGCAGGTCTGGGTGTGTGTGAAAGTATGTGTGTACCCCATCATCGTGTGCTGCGCTCATCTGAGCCGGTCCCATGGTGTGTCTCCAGTTTTTGATGACTGACGGATTGTCTGCTTCAACTCCGTTCTCCATTCTGTAATGACCTACAGGCACCTGGAGGGACCAAAACAATTGTTTTAGATAGTTTAATTGTAAAAAAATTAAACATTTGAAGGATGACATGACACATTTAAATACGTGTTATACTTCAAACAGTATATAAAACTACTTTTTGTGTCCTGAATGATATATTGCCGTCTACTGTACACACACTTGTTGGCATTGATCCCTGTGTAGTGAAGGATCTTTACCTCAGGCAGGTTCCACACAGACTTGGAGCCGTCCCTCAGATAGTAGTAGGTCTGCCCTTGTTCATCCACAGACTTGATCCACTGTTACATAACAAAACATGACTTTGTTAAAGATGATTTAAAATCACTGTTGTTTTACAAGGAGGAAAGGTTTTCAACTTTTTTCATTGCTTCATTTTGAAAGAATAGTGATCTCCCTACGTAAATCATAATCATTTTAACGTTTCTCTCCTATACAAGATATAGCTATCATTATTCCATATTAGGGAGTACAGGAGTACATGGCATTTAGGATACAACAAATAATGTAAAATCAGTAATCAGATTACTGATTACTGTCACTAATCTGCTTAAAAAGCTGAGGGTTAGATTAGGTTTCTTTTTCAGAAACAAGTCCTGTTTCTCTTTTGAAGCCAGGAAAAGGCTAGTCACTGTGACCTTTTTACCTGTGCTAGACTATGGTGATTTGATCTATATGAATGCACCTGCCCATTGCCTGGAAAGGTTAGATGCCGCCTATCACAGTGCTCTGAGATTTGTTACTAACTGTAAAGCACTTACTCATCACTGTACCCTGTATGCCAAGGCAGGTCTGCCGTCACTTACTGGTCGGAGGCTCAGTCATTGGTACATGTTCATCTACAAAGCCATGCTGGGTAAACTACCTTCTTATATCTGCTCCTTGATCTCACGGAGAGTGGCAAGTAGCTATTGCCTGAGATCACAGGATGTGCTTTTATTACATGTGCCAAGTGCTAGGACTGTTTTAGGTACTAAAGCTTTTATGTGCGCTGCTCCTCTAGCTTGGAATACTATGCAAAAAATATTGAAACTGAGCATTTTGATTCCCTTGCATCGTTTTAAAGCACGACTGGATGAAATATTATTGGATACCTGTAAATGTAAATAGATGCTAATGTATACCCCTGTAATTATGTTGTGATGTCCTTTTTGTTTTCTGTTTGTTTTTATATGTGTAACTCAATGTACCGCAGGTCTCCCTTGTAAAAGAGATCGTTGATCTCAATGGGATTTTTAACCTGGATAAATAAAGGCTACAAAACAAAACAAAACTGATACATTTAGGATTGCAATTTTAAAATACATTTTGAGATAAAATACTATAAACCCTCATGCAAATTAGTTACATAATTTCAGGACAAAAGTCTTGTACAATGGCCTCTTAAGTTAGTAAAAAAACAACTTTAATGTGGTAGACGTTTTGCAGGAAAGGGGAACAACATCACTGTAGAGTGCACATTTTCGTAAAACAAAGAAGTTTGCACAATTTCCAGTTAACCAAGATAAAAAAAAATGTGCTGCATACCAGCATGAAAAGACTTTCATAGGAAATAAGTAAAGCTTAAAATGAGAAAATGTTTGGTAGTACAGTGCCAATTGAGTTGAGAGCTGACAGCATGTTTACAGCTGTACGGCATCACTTGCACTGTACTGAGGTTGTTCCTCTTTTTCGCTTTAGTTACAAAATAAATAGTGACATTTCAGAATTTGTCTTGTGTCTTGTCTTCATTTGCATATTTGGCAACGAGGTAATCAACTGGTAACAGAAAGTATTTAAGTTATATCAATGTAATGGTGTGATACTTGTGTTGACTACATTTTTTGAAAGGTATTTAGTAATTGTATCAGAATCTTTTTTAAAGTAACCCCTCCAAAACGTGCCTACATTGTAAAGATGCTTTCATATATCTCTTACTGAAATGCCAATGTTTATCCAACACCCTTAAAGTGTTTTGCAATTTGAAATCAAGTCTATCTGTATATAGGACCTTTGTTGTCTTAAATCCCATCTTCCTCCTCTTTCATATCAGTCGGTGTTTGCAGCTACCTGCTCTGGGGAGTGTTCGCTGGTGAACACCCAGGTCCCGTTGGGCTGCACGTTGAGGTTCCAACCGTTCGGGGTGCTGCGGTCCACGTTGGCCCGGGGGATGATGGTCCGGCCCGCATGACTGAGGGTGTACTCTTTAGGGAGAGTGGGGGGGCCCATGGCTAGGAGGTCCTCACTGCTCTCTGGATGAGCAGCAGCTGGGTTATTCTCTAGGGGGTAATCCTCATCAGGGAGAGGAGGCTGGGGATGAAAAGATGGGGGAAACATTAAAAGACCTGCATCTGAGCTGTGTCCAGAGACTAAATTATGTTTTTTGGGGTTGATTTTAAAAGTTTGTGGGTGCTAAAAAAGTACTTCACTGAATAACGTGAAAAAGAAAAGGAAAAAAAGGGAATAGTTCAACTTTTCAAAAGTGATTTGCCTTATTTTCAAGAGTTACTTGAGAAGATGGATAACACTCATGTTTGTCTGTTAAATATGAAGCTACAGCCGTTAGCTTAGCTTAGCACAAAGCGCGGACAAACAGCTACCCTGGATATTAGTTATCCACCTAACAGCACCTCTAAAGTTCAATATTTACCAAGTAGTATCTTGTATAATCTTTCAAAAATGTTAAATGAAATAGTTACTATGTATTCCAGTAATGGAGCTAAGCTAAGCTAAGCTAATCGACAGCTCGCTGTAGCTTCATATTTAACACACAGTCATAAGAGTGGTATAGATCTTCTCAAATGAGTCTCAGCAGAAAGGTAATACATGTTGTTCCGAAAAAACATCACACTATTCCTTTGTTGAATTGAGCCATGACAGTAATAAATAGACTTAACACTGACCCTGTTCTTTGTCGAAATCAATCTTTTTGTGTTGAGGTATTTACATCTCACCGAATAATGTCATGTAAATTATTTCCCACTATGACCTAGATAAAGAGCTCAATGACTTTTCCATGACATTGATAAATACTCTAAGTCACAGCACTTCCATGGCCTCAAATATATTCTCATTTCTAGCTCAAGAAAGTCATTAAGGGGCAGAAAAGAGGTCACTTCTGACTAAAAAAAGAACTGTAAACCATGTCATATTTCAATAACGTCTGACATGTACCTAACGTGAAGCACTTCTAAACATCTCTTGAATCTCCTTGAGTGTATTTGGAATTTCAATATGAGGATAAATGTCTTTTTAAAGTGAATGTTTTTGACATTGTGGTCTGAATCTGTGAGCTTCACTAATGATAATGAGTGCTATGTAGGTGCAGCAGTTTTCATTCAATTAAAAGCAGACAGTATTTACAGCGCTCCCCTGGGTGAAGCTAAAACAGGAGACAGAGAGCGGCTAAGTGGAGCAGCAAGGCTGTCCTCACCGGTCCGTCCTCATGGAACCTGTGCACACTCATGGGCTCCATCACGGGGGGGTACGGGCTCAGCTGCTCGGGGGGCTCCCAGGACGTTTCCCTGGACATGGCGTTGTAGAAGTAGGGCCGACCGCTGCTCTCATCCACTAACTGCTCCCAGTCTGAGGTCCACGCAGGTGGGGAGGACGGAGAAAGGGCGGGAGATTGAGGAGGTGAGGGGGAACAAGGAGGCTCAGGGTCTGTGGGGGAGTCTAGGAAGGGGCTGTCCCAGGTGGTGCGCCCCGTGGCGGGGTGGTAGAAGTACTCCTGTCCACTTTCTTGGTCAACGTGCACCTCCCATCCCTCTGGGTCAAGGTAGGAAGGAGAGTAGGACGAGGGAGCCGAGGGAGGAGACTCGGAGATGCTTTTGCGAAGCTGTGATACATTCACGTACACCGCTGACCGGAGACTTTCATTCTCAACCTGTGGAAAAATCAAAGAAAATATATTTAGGGAAGTACATTAACAGGTGCTTCCAGAGAACAAGAACGTAAGTTATTTTGGGAACACATTTGTATCCATTTCCTGACACTTTACACTTCTTTCCACTGAAATTCAGAGCATGGATTTTACTCTACTACATTGATTTGATATATAAATAGATTCAGATTACACTCAAATAATCAACACATTTTTTTTATATAGTTATTTTTAACAGATTAAGAACAGCTTTATTTTTACATTGGTGGAATTCCCAAGCTACCAAGAAACATATATATATATATATATATATATATATATATATATATATATATATATATATATAGTAGAAAAAAAAACCTCCTCCCCAGCTGCAAAACTAAAGTGGTGAACACATTAATCCATCAATAAGCATTATCCAATAAATAAATATATACGATCCTGAAACGGGCCATTGTGCAGAATTAATACTTTCGGTACTTATATATATATATATATATATACAATAAGTTGTTGCTATTATTTTGGTACTTTTCAAAGGTAACATTTTGAAAGCAGGACTGTTATATATATCTTAGTACTTCTTCATCCACATCTGGCTTTTGTAGGCATTTTTCAAAGTAACATTTTTCCACCGTGTTGTGTTTTTGTATTTTGCAACATTCGTCTGGGTCATGCAGTGTCAAGTACCAGCCTTCACTACAGCTCTTAATAAATCAGCCTTCCGCATCAGAAAGAGCACCAGAGCACAGGAAGTAGCTCACAGCTGAAAAAAAACACCCACCACAGTGTCGTTCCTCACAATAATGATCATAACCTATTCTAGTGCCATTTTCAAAAACACCCACACACATGAATAACAGTTATTGTGCCAAAACAATGTCCAGAGGTTAAGTCTGTATTAACCAAAGCAGACAAACGTTAACATCAGTGGTGTTTTTTTTGTCTAAAAAGCCATTTTAAAGCTAGATAAAAAAAGAACAACCAGAGCAACGAGAGCCTTTGGCCACGGGCCAATTCAATGTAGAAAACTAGGTTAAACCTCCCCACCATCATCAGGCATTGTCTTGCCCTGCAGCAAAGCAGCGACCTGCCCTATAATTAGTTATAACTACGATTATCTTTTATTAAATACAAACTGCATTTCCACTTTCTGTCTATTAGAGGCAAGCTGTTTGAACATCCCTGTCATGTTACAATCATAAACAGAGCTCTTGGCTGCATGGCATGCAAATCATCACAACAAATTTGTTTAAAGAACGACAATTAGGAGTGATCTGACATGTGATGAAAGGCTGCCTCTGTCCTCTGAAACTGAGACGCAATGAAAAGTGCAATTTTAAATGACCCCGCTGCCTGGATGACAACAATGTGATCTTTCTTTAAGTTGTTCTCTCCTCATCTGTGCTCCACTGAGGTGATTCTTCCTCAGCGTGAGACTCGTGGGATCTACAGCCCTGCAGAGTCTTTCATACGCCTTCATGGTGGCACTTCACTCTTTCAGACAACACTCAAACTGCTTCTTGTCTCTCAGCTAACCTCATGGTCTATATTTACCAAGGCCTGCGACCTGTGTGTCTGCATCTGTGTATCACTCTGCTAAATGCGCAGTGCTATAAAGAAGAGATGTATTACTAAGTAAGGTAAGGTGAGGTAACTCATGCAATCTACAGGAAGATATTGCCAAAAACTCATTCATTTGAAATCTGTAGATAATTGTTACTTTGTCATATTGGATTTTCAAAACAATGTGATCCACTCAAAGAAATATAATTAATCATTCAGTGCTCCTTCTTCTTATCAAGTCATTTTGGTATGCAAGTCCTTAACGTCGTATTATCTCCATGTTAATGAATGCTAGTCCACTTGGTATAAGTATTTTTTAAATAAATGTCTAATTAAAAAATCCAACCGTATTCCTGTTTCGGACACTCCTTTGTAGAGTATTTTAAGAAAAACAGTAGATTGCTTGTCAGTTTATTCTGTAAACTTCCCAATTTCATGGAGACAATTCTGAAATAAGTTCTAAACAAACACATTTTCCTCAAACAAACAATGTTAGCAATGATACTATTCACCCGATTCTTATTTTTAAAGAACTTGTTTTGGAGTACGCTTTTGAATACAGGACTTTTGCTTGGAATTTAGTATTTTGCCATTAGTTAAAGGTCCGGATACTTGGATAAACATTTTTATAAAATAATGAGGAGAGGAAAGCAGTGCACGTTATGGATTTCATGATCAGCTGTGTTTTCTATCTGTCTATTCAATGTTATCACTTTGCTGACTTGATTGATCTCAATCTAACCTCAGTGCAGTCGATGCGGACAACCAGACAACTGACCCCTAAACAGATTGATTCAACCCAACACAGCCCGACTCCACAGAAACAGAAATAGGAAATGAAACAGCTGCATCATTGATCTCTGAAATAGCTACTCTGGATAACGCCCATACTATGCAATGGAAGAAAAAACGTTGCAAGCAGATACATATCAGCAAACGCTATGATTTAATGTGTGTGGGAGATGTCATCCCTTTGAAGGGAATACCACTGCTTGTTCAATTCCTCTAAGTAAATGTACTAGTAGGGCTTAGTACTGGACTTCCCTTGTGTTTTTTTTATTGTATGCTACTTTATCTGTTCTCTGCTACTCCACCTCATTTATTTGAAAGCTGTAGATACCATCTTTTTTTGAAGACCTTATATACAAATACATTATATTATATAACATACAATGTGTTCTTCTTCTTTTTTGGCTTGTGACCCCAGTATTTTTTCACTTAACTTTTGGGATGTTTACAACTAAATAAATTGTTAAACGGCGTCCAATTCATTATTTCAAAGGAAGGATTATAGAAAGGACCAAAAAGACAATGTTGCTCACATGTTTATAAAAAAACAATCTCTCACTAGCTCCATTATTCCACAGGAGTACTTTCACTTTTGATACTCTACAATTTGCTGATTATATTTCTGTGTTTTCATTTAGGATTCTGACTTGTACTTAAAGTTCCCAAACTATAGTATTGGTATTTTTACTGAAGTTAAGGATCTGAATGCCTTTTATAACTGATTTGACACCCAATGTTGTGGTGTAATGGTGGACACTATCAACCTTTTCTCCAACAAAGACGTAGAAAACATTTTTGTTATTCTGACCTTAAAACAGACAACCTTGAAAGAAAAAGATCCTTGTGAGAAACATTTTTACATGTTCTGTCACTGTGTTTTGACAGAGCAACATAGTGTATATCAGTGTGATATCACACAACTTAACACCTGTTAGTTTTCCCCTCATCAGACTGAAACACTGACACAGCAGATGTCAACAAACGAAAATGTCAAAACTGAACCAATAAATACAGTTTCTCACCACTGCTTTCAGATAAAGTATTACATATTTGCTGATGAAAATATCAACACAGAAGAACAAAAGTTGTTCTTTAACATCCATAATAAAAATGTAAACCAACAATTACAATAGATGAGCAAACAACAGCGTTGAGCAGATCAGTTCAGGAAAAGAAACAAGTGCAGGGGTGTTAAGCTTACGCAAAGCAGGAAGCAATACTGTCATAGAACACTATATTCTTATAAAACATGCTGACCACAGACAATAAAGTTGTACAATATAGCAATAAAAGCTGATGTTGTTGTGATCACCTACCTGAGGAACCACGGGCAGAGTCATTCCCCGCTTGCCCCCGTGACTTGACCAATCCCTCGAATACATGTCCATCATCTTTATATCGTTCTATTTAGAGGAGCCATGTATGCAAATATACAAATGGACTCCGAACGGATCTATCATAAGCGAGCTAGAACCAAGATCAATCAACTTGTGATGGGAAATACACGCACATTCATGAGCACACCCTGAACGCGCACATCTTCCTCTCGCAGCAGATGTGACAGTTGCAGCCCAGATAGAAAGGAGAACTGTTACAATAGCAGCAGGAAGGGGCTGTGTGAGGACTGGGTGAGACGAGTGTGTGAGTGTGTGAGTGTGTGAGTGTGTGTGTGTGTGTGTGTGTGTGTGTGTGTGTGTGTGTGTGTGTGTGTGTGTGTGTGTGTGTGTGTGTGTGTGTGTGTGTCATATGCGTGAATTCCTGTGTACAGGGTAGGGGGGGTAAAGGGTAACTGTCTGTGTTGTCGCGCAATGAGACTAGGTACACAAGACAGAGAATAGGGTTTGATTGCAGGAGCAACGTAAACAGAAAAAGGCCAAGTCAACATACTTCCTGATTGTGTACTCATATGGTAAAAAAAAAAAGTCTAAATGGAAGTTTTTTTTAAGGGGTCACACCAGTAACCATAGTGTTATACTCAAAGGAAAATGTTATAGACAATAAAGGTACAATAAAACCACTTTGCTTTTGTCTACAGCAGCTGCTTTAAAGGGTTCATTATTTGATCCTCTAGTACAGTAGGTCAAGCAGATACTAATGGGGAAAAAAGGGAAGTAATAATTTCCCACAATAATACGCAAGATCTTTTTTTGACAGGATATTCTGATGAAACATTGTGTTGTTAAAGTCCACGAGGCATGAAACAGGAAGTCTGGGTTCAAGGCCAACTGTTCCACCATTACTTCCTTCAACAGGGGGCAGACAGCAGGCGGTGCATTTTGTGGCTGTTTTTGCAGAGGTTTTTGAGGCTAGGGTTAAACTCAAATTAGGTTTGACGCATGTTGGTAACCCTTGTGTTTATACCGCTACATCCATGTTTGCCAAAGGCTTTCGAAGTTTCAGTATGTGTCACTGCTGTCAATACTTCCTGGAACATCCTGGAGAGAGGAAAGTTGATTAAAAATTATTATACTGGTGTCACAAAAGGCAATAATTTAGTAAAAAGTCATTTCGCGTTTTACCACTACCCAATTTTTTTCCCACTGCAATATTAGATGTTCAAAGCAAAGGCAACAGAAGTCCGGTGCTGTAGTATTAAGAGCGAGAAAACCAATGTATGGCAGAAAGGGTGAAAAAGAGACAAGACTTTC